GGAATCATGAGACCTTTCACGCATGCTTTGTTTACTTCCTCAAGCTTTTTGATGACACTGAAAATAATAATTGACTTGATGCAGAGAATGTCGTATGATGCTGTATGACTTCTAATATCCGAGCATGGAACGCACAGTGTTTGTACGCACATAATGGCTCCATAGTCGTCAAGACTGAATAGTATTAAGGGAACGAATTCATCACGTGGACAACATAGTCTCCTGAATATGGGGCTGGCCTGGGTGCTGGTGTGCTTACACTTGCTACCACCTGCACGTGTACACGTCTCTGCTAGGGTGCTGGCCACTCACCACCCTCCATCTTTCTTGGACTGGAACTAGCCCATGAACCTGTCCAGTGTTAAATGACAATGTTATCTGAGGACAAGGTCAGATTTGTTTCTGTGCCAAAGTTTGTAGCCTCGAGGCTTGAATAAAATTAAGTGCAGCCACGAACAAAATACAGACAAATGCTTTTGCACTTTTTTAATGTCTCAAGAGCATTATGTATATACATGGACTACTTTTTATCGAAAACTGTGAACAGCGCAAATAAATTCACTTGTACAAGAAAAGAAACTTGGTCATAGTCACTGACATTACCTTTATGGTATGCACCCACACCGTTCTCTTCGAGTTCTTCCAAGTGTGAATCTTAACACACTAAGTCTACTTGTATAATTGCCAAAGGATATTAATGGTAGTTGCCAAGTGCATGTGGTATGCACTGTGCACATCGATCCAATCTAATACTATGTACATAGAATTCCCACTACTCTTCCGTACTACTCTTCCTTTACATGGCCACACAAACACATTAATTTATTTATAAATTGGACCTCAGAATTTTGGAACATTTTACATTTTATTGCTGTAAATTTATGTACAGGGTGTCCTCACATGAAAAATGGTGTCAAAATCATTCCCTTGATGTCTGAACAATGCAAATCCCTATCAGATAGGAGTGTACAATGTAGAACAAAGTTGCCAGGATTCATCACATCAATTCCTTACAACGAGGACTTATTTTATAAACGGTGTGGAAAAACAGAGAAACACAAGAATTCAAGAAATGGAGATAAGCAGAATTTGCTCTTTATGACAGTATTTTGTGTTCTTAAAATCGAGTGTTCCTTATCTTAAGTGTTGACTGTATACCGCAGGTATTTCACTTTACAATGTCGACAGGGAATACAAAATGCCCATGAAAGACTTAATGCTGTCCAAATTAATCACACATGTGCACATATGCCCAGAGACTACAAAATGACATGCAACACTAAAGGTGTACTACGGCACCCATGACAGCAGCCCATGAGTACGCCGCATTTTTCCGTCCGTGTGGATGGCTAACGAAGAATACGGTCCGACAATGTCAACGGGGTCGGAGATGGCCTTGAGCAGTCCTCCAACCACCTTCAGAGCCTTTTAAACATGTAGTTTGTTATCATGATGCCGTGTCCAATCAGTGAAGATGTGTGCGTAACCTCGGTTTGTGTTTAATAGGGGATGCTTACATTTTTTCATGACAGGTATGAATGCTTGTAAAATGACTTTATCCTTTTCGAATATGAGTTTCTTTATTCAAGGCTCACATGTAGATGAGAACAAAGAGACAAGGAGTGTGACTGACAATATTTGGTAATTATAAATAAATGAAAGTGGCAACATCAATATGCATTTTCAAGCAACTTGAAACTGCAAACATTGCCGTTTATATCTGCTTGGTCAGCTGATGTTGAAAATACCAGTGGGAGTCCCGCCTTGAGGGTTAGTGCCTGTTAATGTGTCCAAGAGAGTTTGTTGACCAAATAGAAGAGAATTTTGTTTCACCTCTAAGAAAATAAAAGCAAAGACCCAAACAAACATACAGCCACAAAAAAATGATGCAACCAGTGACATGTTTGGTTTATAAGACAACCTTCTGAAGCACTGAATTCAATTTGGACATGTTCTTTATTCCCATCCTCCATCCTCGAAGAAGTCCCGTTGTCTCTCCGTGTACCGCCGCTTGAACTCGTCATCAAACAATTCAAGATCCTGCTCGTCTCTGATGACGCCCTGTAAAATATGACAAACTCTTACTCACTCAAAGCTACAGGACGCTACTGCAGGCTCAAGGAAATTAGAGCATTGTTGCCCCTTAATACCTTCAACTACGAGGAGTGTGCCGCTGGGTTCCTACAAAGAGGACAAAGGCTGTAGCTTGTTCTAATCCAGAACATTTGCTTTTCCTTAAAAACAAACGCTGTGTCTTGAATAGCAACAGTTGCCTTCTATATGTGAGCAAACCATCTTTGAAATGGTGTGCTTCTCACTGAAACACTACTCATTCCTGCCCGGGACACACAGTATTCCAGTGAAGAGCATTCCAGGCTGAACAGGGATGTTCCAACTTTTAAGGTGCTTCCTAAAGGCCAGTTCATACTTCATGCAATAGTGAAAACGAAGCATTTGCAGCACGGATATTTCATCTGACGTCATAATTTTCCATTCATATTCACTTTTGCACCAAGTACGAACTAGCCTTAAGGGTTGCAACATGGGGGAAAAGCTGTGACGGGGGGCCTACCTTGGGCAGGTATCCAAGCAGCTTGGAGGCGTGCTCCTTCAGCAGCTTCTGCCGCTCCTCCTCGATGATCTCCTGCCGCAGCCTCTCCAGCATCTCCTCCTCCTGCCGGCTGGCCAGCTCCCGCTGCCGGTCGGCGGCAAACTGGGCCCGCCGCTCCTCAATCAGCTTCTCCACCGCCCGCTTGTGCTGCAGCTGGGCCATGCGGCGCTTCTGGGCGTTCATCTGCTCGATGCGGTCGTCCTCGGCAAACTTGGCCAGCATCTAGGCAGGGGATGGAATGAGAAAGTCAGGGGTTATGCGAGAGTTGCTTACAAACTGATTCTTGTGAACATCACAAGATAGTAAGACCGGTGCTAAAAGGTTGACTGAAAATTTGATTAAAAGCCCCTTTCACACATTAAATAATAAAGAACTGATTTGTCAACATTAAGCTCTTGCAAACATCAATACAGTCCAATGCTGTCACATTTGGTACAAATTTGGTACCCTCCCCTCTGAATGAAACTGAACAGTAAGAACTGATTTGCCAAAGCGAGTCCATAACAAATAGAGCAAAAGACTGATGTGACAGAATTTAATATAAATTTGAAACCTGCCACAATGTAAAAATAAAAGGGACTTAATTGCTGCACTCAAGACCAGAAGTTCCTTTGTTTGGAAAACTGATGAGCACTGTTTCTTTAAGAGTAAGTAGTTCCTATCTATACAAAAGAAGAAGACTTAAAATCAGCAGTTTCAGACCTGACCGACAAAAGGTTGAGACCTCCATAGAGAATCTGCACTGACATGAAATTTTGACTTCAACAAAGGACCAAGACTTGCGGACCAAAGCAAAGCTTACAAAACTTGATTTGAGGGCCTGAGTTGAAACTACAGGCCTGACTTGCAGCCTGAGCACTGTGAATTGAAACCTCCTAGCAGCATTGCAATGAAAGCTCCTTCCTGAACCAGCAGCCTTGTTAAGAAGACCCGTCACCCACCTGCTTCTTGAACTCTTCCTCCTCTTCCTTCTCAGCCTGCTTCCGCAGCTCCTTGAGCATCAGCTCTTCCCGGCGCGACTGCTGCAGGTCCAGCCGCTGCCTCAACCGTCTCTCGATCTCTGCCTGCATCTTCTGGATCTCAGCCTCCTCCTGCTCCTCCAGGTACAGCTGTTGCCGGATGTTGGCCATCTCCTCTTCCGCAGCCCGCTTCTGGGCAATCTCTTCGCTGAGCTGTAAGGAAGGAAACCATAAATAGGTAAACAAATACTTCTCTTTAATCTTGGATAATACCCAATATAAAACAAACAATGCTTGCACCAACCATGATGGAAATCCTGTAGCTCTTATTTAACACCTTAACACTGTTAATCCTATCTGATGTCTAAATCTTCCTTTTCTCTTGCTGTCTGCCTGACAAGACCGGGAACCGGGTACCCTTTAACGGGCAGGTACCCGGGGTACCTATAATTTTGTGAGGTGAGGGTATAACTTTCCCAAAGTGTCACAATGATGTATCTCTAACGTAGATGACAGAGAACTGTCTGCACAGGGTCTCAAAAGATGATTTATCCAGATTAATTTTCAACAGTTTTTCGGCAGGTAATCAATAGAGAAGGGTGCATGCCTTTCTTAAATGCTGGATCAAAAGTTCCCAAAAGTAGTTTCAGGTAATACGTTCAAGAAAATGGAGTCAGGTACCTGTAACCAATGGTCAGGATTTGGGTACCCAAGTTCTCTGCACAGCCCTACACACCTGTTTCACTAAAAAGGCTACTCTTCACACTGTGAAGACCTACCCATGAATTTTGGAGCAAAAATGGATTTTAATCTCCAGTTGTTACAACCCTCTCTCCGTATACAGTGCTGCCTATGGCCCAGAAGACTCCCCAATTTAGTCGCACAACAAACCACGCCCATCCCCCAAGCCTCCTCTATACTTGTCATATCATCACCCCAGGCGAAGCCCCCCATGAGAGATTACTTACACTCTGCTGTACAGCCGCCTTGGCCTCCTCCTGGGCTCTCTTGCTTTCCATCCTCTCCTCCTCTCGCATCTGCTGCATGCTGGCAAACTCCAGGATGCGCCGGTTCTCCTCCTCCATGCGCTCCTTCTCCTTCTGCTTCCAGTCCTCCCGGGCTGCCTTGAACTCGGTGATGTATTGCTGCGTGGCCCGCTGCTTCATCAGGTACAACTCCCGCTCCCTGTTGCAGCAGAGATGAGCACCGACATGAGCGTCAAACAAAGCCCAACCATACGACACTTAAAGTGCAGAACCACACAAGATTTCCACTGGATCCTGTTTATCTCAACAGGGAATAAAATACATTTTGTTCAAGCTGCTTCATACAGTTGATTCACAGCTCTTCAGAGTTGACCTGGACTTCACAGTTAGGTTCAGCAACACCTGGTATCAAAAACTGGTATCAAACCTGGCTAGCAGCTGAGACGTGTTTCACACAATCACGTCAAAACCCTGAGCATGGTATCCTCGATAGGTCAGCTACAAAGCAGATAAACCATTGCATGCTAAATCTCTTTGTGCTAAGAGTTATAAAATACATGTACCTCTGACTCTTCTCAGATGAATGAGAATGCGCATTTAACTGCCACAAAACTACGTAAAAATCTGAGTAAAGACCCGAGTAAAGATCTTAACCAGCGGCCCATTGAAACCATCGCACACAATAATAAAATGTGCTGTATGATGCAAAAACAAAATGGAGACACATGCACGAAAGCCAGTAAACAGTGACTGAACCACATGTAATCTTGAAATGTATCCAATCACAGGAATCTCTAATGCTTTGTGAATTGAACGGTAGGACAACGTAGTTTCTGCGTAAAACTAGAACTGATGGGTAGACAGTATCTAAACAAGGTGCATGGAACTTGCTTAATAATGGTACTTGAAAGGTAATTGAAGCTATTTACACATGTGGGAAAATTTGAAAATGGGGTTAAGTACCGGTAGGTTTTTTTGTTTGAAGTTTAAACAAAAGTACAGTCACGTGTTGATTAAATATCCCTGGTTATTCTCCAACCCACATCTCTGCCGATTAGTTTAGTACAGTGCACAGAGCAACGCCCAGAGTAAGCACTACACTACCTCTCATCTTCCTCGTGAATCTTGCGCACAATCTCGTCGATCATGAGTTTCTCCTTCAGGAACTCCTCGTAGTCTTCCTGTTTCTTCTTCTCCTGCTCCTCCAGCTGCTTCTCCAGCTCCTGGTGGTAGCGCACTTTCTCGTGGTACTGCTCCTCCATCTTGCGCCGGTCCTCGTCCTCGGCACGGGCCGACTCCTCCTTCATCATCCGGGCGATGTCAGCATCTCGTGCCTGCACAAGAACGGTCAGGCGATGAGAACATTTGAACACTGCCCCAATATTGCTCACACGGATTTTGGAGTCTGAGACCAGCCAATACATTGTCTGCCAGGACAAACGAATGGGCGGTGGAATCAACTCATCTTTACAGGAATCTTAATACTGACCTCATATTC